GGTCGTCTCCTCGCCTGCGCTCGAGCACGCCGTCGCCAAGCTTCGCCGACTCTCCGCCACGCTCACCGCAGCAGGCCACACTAGCGCGCGCGGCACGAGCCCCATGGCGGTTGGACAGGCTCAGGAGGCCCAGCTGCGCATCCCGCCGCACAGTTGCGCATCACGCGCCACCAACCGAAGGACTTCTTCATCATCTTCGACCTTCCAGTGCACCACGACGACGTCCTCAAGCTCGGCTCCATCACTGTGGATGGGGTCAAGTTCTTCATCAGGCGCTGGCATGAATACGACCACGCGGCCATCCAGCAGTTCTACCACCACGCGTGGATCATCATCGAGAACCTGCTGCAACAATTCTGGTCGCTCGAGGGTGTGGAGGAGGCACTGGGCTGTCGCGTCGACCGGCTGGATAGCCGCACCCACAAGTGCGACCACACCAAGACCTTCGCTTGTTGGGTGTGGGTGTGGGATGCTGCCCTGATCCCGACGAAGCACACGTCTGCAACGGGGCGCCGTCCATGTTGGAGAGATTCTCGGCCACTCGCCGCCGGGCCGCGCCGGGCCTCTACCGCCCATGGCCTCTCGCCACGACCTGCTGATCCATGTGGAGCTGGTGGGGGACTGGACTCCATACCCACTGTGCTCCCCTGCCTCGGCGCAGAGTAGCATCCCCTCCAACTCGGACGACGAGGATGACCACCCCATGCCCAGGGTGTACCCTGGCTCTTGGAGCAAGCACGTGGAGGACGGCCAGAGGGACCCAAAGAAGGACAAGCGGCTGGCCCCGGTGGTGGACTCCGGCTGCTGGGGACTGCCCTTTGGCGGCCCAAGGCGGGAAGACGACGAGGACGGCTGCGGTGGGCACAGGTCATGGCAGGACACGCTCCTAGGTCTCGGGCGCTCGAGCCGGGAGACGTCGCAGAGGGTCTCCTCGTCCAAACGCCGCAGCCGCTCACCATCCGCCCCGTGCCTGACGGAGAGCTCGCGCTGCTGCCAGGCATCGGTCCGCCACGCGGACAAGTCCCCCGCGGCCCCGGCGCCCCTGTTGCACGCTCTGCTCCCGCTTCCCTCTGTTGTGATGGCGCGCTCAGGAGACGACGACCCGATCGCCGCCTTCTTCGCCGGGGCCGCTCACGTCCCCTCCCCACCCCCGGCGTTCGACTGCATGAGTGCTGAGATGGATGCCCTGGTGGTCCAGGTCACTACCACTCTGCTCGACTTCAACGACCAATGCAAGCTGGCCGGCCAGCTCTCCCCGGATGGCCTGGGGCAAGCTCTGCTCGACAGCCTACTCCGGCAGAGGCCGCTGCGGATGGCGCAGATCAAGCTACAACTCCAGGCTGTCTCCCAGCAGGTTTGCCAGCTCTAGGTTGCCGTCGATGATGGCAACGGCGCCACCTCACCACCCCTCTTCCAGCAAGTTCCGCCGCCTCTCATCCCTGTGCCCCCTACTTCGGCGGCACGCAGGGCATCGACGCTGCCCAAGACAAGGGTCACTGTTGTGCCCACCCGCCACAGTGTTCGGAAAGCGGCCAACTAGACGTCGGTGCCAGTGGCACAACACGCTGCCATGAGGCTTGTCAGAGACATGGGTCTGCTGGGCAAGGAGGAGGAGATGACGCTGGAGGCCGCTGTTGCGCTGATCCGCAAGTTCAAGGAGCCGCTCACTAACGATCACATCGCTGTGATTGCCAATCTCACCCGCCTGGACCCGGCTGCACTCCGCATTGCAGCGGCCATGGCTGGAACTGAAGATGCTGCCCCTGCGACCCCCGTTTGATTATGTTAGTCTCTGTTAGGTTTAGTCTCCGGCAACAGCCGGCCTTCTGCCGGTCTGAGTTAGGGTTAGTTTCTATGTCTAGTAAGTTGGTTTGTAGGTTAGATAGGTGCCAGTCTGATCTTGGGGCTATTGGTGGCGACTGGCGCTCCTCTGCACGATGGTGTGTGTTGTTCTTCGCCTGTGCTGTTCGTAGTAAAAGTATTTGTTGTCGGAGAAAATCTGGTTTCCCCCATGAGTGACAACCATTGCCCGATCATGAGTTGGAATGTGCGTGGCGTGAATATGCCGGCTAGACGGGAGGCGATCAGAGAAGTAGTATCTGCGCACAAAGTAGCAATCCTCTTCTTGCAAGAAACCAAGATTGAAGACCGGAATCCAAGCCTCGTCAGAGATGTAGGCGGCCATCAGCTCCAAGACTGCGTCGTGCTCCCTACGATCAGCACCAGGGGAGGTGCCGCCATCTTCTGGGATAGAATGTAGTTTCAGTAGTCTCCAGTGCGGTTGGCCAATTTGCAATAACGGCCAAAGTAACACTGCTTCGGTCCGCTGCTTCCTTCTGGCTAACAATTGTATACGGCCCGGCCGATGATGCAAGAAAGGACAATTCCCTCGCTGAACTAGCTAGGTTAGCCCCCCCCCCCTTGGAGCCGTGGTTGTTAACTGGTGATTTCAATATCATCTATGAGGCGCGCGACAAAAACAACCTTAATCTAAATAGACGACTGATGGGTAGGTTTAGAAATGCGTTAGACGCAGCTGAGCTTCGAGAAATTAGGTGCAAGACTAGAAGGTTTACTTGGAGGAACGAGCGCAAAAAACCCGTGCTTGCTAGCATCGATAAGTTTTTCTGCAACATGAACTGGGAGGCAATCTTCCCTAATAGTATGCTGACTGCTGCATCGACTGCATGCTCCGATCATTGCCCGCTACTTCTAACTTCTGCTAGCTCCCCGCGGCGCCTAGCGAGATTCAGATTTGAAGAGTTCTGGCCCCGCTTCCCTCGCTTTCACGAGACTGTGCAGAAAGCTTGGGATCGGCCGGTAGCCCATGGATGTGCATTCACAAGACTGAAGATCAAGCTGCAACGAATAGCCAGAGACCTGAAAATCTGGAGCAAAGCCATGTTCAGTGATGCTAAGCTGCAGTTTCACATTGCAACCGAGGTGATCCTTCGGCTGGATGTTGCACAGGAGAGCCGGACACTGATAGAGGCAGAGCACCACTTGAGAAAGCTTCTGAAAATCAGGCTGCTAGGATTGGCAGCGATCGAGAAGGCCTGTAAAAAACAGGCTACAAGGGCGCGGGGGCTGCGGCTCGCTGATGCAAACACAAAGTTTTTCCACGCGAAACTGGCATCTAGACAATGCAAAAACTTCATCCACTCCATCCTGCACCAGGGGCAGTTCATGCTGACCCATGAGGACAAGGCCAAGGTGATCAACAATCATTTTGCTGCAATTCTGGGCATGTGGGGTCCGTGCGGAAGGACTCTGGACTGGCAGCAGATGCAGCTCCCCCTGGGTACCAGCTGTTGGGCTTGACAATCCTTTCTCTGAAGAAGAGGTTTGGGCTGCAATCAAGGATTCGCCGACGGACAGAGCTCTCGGACCGGATGGTTTCAGCGCTATGTTCTTCTGGGAGTATTGGGGATTTATCAAGGATGATATCATACTGGCTTTTGAGCAGTTCTACAGTCTAGCTGGACAGGGTTATAGCGAGCTCAACATGGCTCTGGTGATGCTACTACCAAAGAAGAAGGGTGCGGCAAGTGTTGTAGACTATCGACCAATCAGCCTCATCCACTCCGTAGCCAGGCTCATCGCAAAAGTTCTCCCCATCAGGCTATCCAGTGATAAACGACATCATCTCCCTAGCACATACTGCATTTCTGAAATCAAAATGCATGCATGATAGTTTCATGTATGTGTACAATGGAGTCAAGCTGCTGCACAGAAGGAAAACCCCGGCGATTCTGCTAAAGCTCGACATCACCCGGGCTTTTGACAGCGTGTCTTGGGAGTACCTTCTTGAGTTGCTTCAGAACATTGGGTTCAGCGCCAGATGGAGAGACTGGATCGCCTTACTTCTATCTTCTTCCAGCTTGGCTGTCATGCTCAATGGAGTGCCTGGAGCGGAATTGCTACATCAACAAGGGCTGCGGCAGGGAGACCCCCTCTCCCCGCTGCTATCATCCTGGCAATCAATCCATTGCAACTGCTTCAGCTGGCAGCGGAGAGAAACGTCATAAACCCTCTGTAAGGAAGGGATTTGAAGTTACGCGTCAGCCTCTACGCAGACGATGTTGTCCTCTTTGCTAATCCGATCGCTGAGGAGATCGAGGCCCTCATGAGCATTCTGCATGGCTTTGGGGAGGCAACAGGTCTCAAGATAAATCTCAGTAAATCGTCTGCGATGCCCATCTACTGTGAGGATATCAACATGGCTGAGGTTTTACGGAGCTTTGGAGGACAAACGAAGCCCTTCCCGATAACCTATCTTGGGCTGCCAATTGCGCCATCAAGACTCGGGCTGGTGCACTTCCAATTCATTATTGGGCGCATACGAGCTTGGCTGGCACGATGGAAGATGAAGCTCCTAACAATTGCAGGATGCCGTGTTCTGGTCCGTGCGGTCCTGACTTCTCTGCCAACATTTACCCTCACCGCTCTACGGGTGCCCAAGAAGCTTCTAAAGGAGATTGACAAGTCGAGACGAAAATTCCTTTGGGCGCATGATGAGGTGATCACCGGGGGTAAATGCAAAGTTAATTGGGCCAAGGTTTGCACCCCGATCGACCATGGCGGCCTTGGCATCTTTGACTTGCAGAAGTATGGTAGAGCGCTACGGCTAAGATGGCTCTGGCACGCATGGAAGAACCCCAAGCGCGCTTGGGTTGTGTCACGACCGGTTTTTCAATAAAATACTTATTGAGAAAATCGATCTCTTGATTCCAGTATAGGAAGAGTTATCTTTACTGGTAGACAAATACTTGAATACAGAAGACCAGTAGCATCAAATATATTACAGGGTTGAGCTGAGGATGCTCAAAAATTTATTACAAACACGCCAATATTATACATAAGGGCGGTTATGACACAGAGGTGTGGTGACATGCTACTAGCTCGAGATAAAAGTGGTGGTGGATAACTTGACTTCTAAACTGGCAGCTCATCGAGCGTCGAGGTGAGGCTCGGTGAATTTATTTCTGGGGTGGCGGAAGCGGATATAATACAGTGACCAAATGCAGAATCGCACAGGACTGACTAGGACTCCTCTAGGCGTCGGACTCGCTATCGAACTCTTCATCCATGAGATCGCCTTCATCAACATCTGGCCAAATCAACAAGCCAGGTGAGTACTTTGAAAGTACTCACAAGACAGTTTGGACCAAGGATATAACAAATGCATGCATGAATGCGTCATGAGCAAAATAATAATAATGCTCATTCCAATAAAAAGAATTTGCACGACATGATGAGTAAAATAAATAACTGAAACCGATCGGGTGTCTGGAGTGACGCCTCGAAAGGTAAACAAAATAAAAATCATGCCGCAGTCGGGCGTCTAAGCGACACCACATAAAGGGCTTATACTGAAAAGTAAAAGACAAGCGTGCCACAGTCGAATGTCTGGGCGACATTGCAGAAAGGGCTTTTATTTGAAAATATATAACAAGCATGACACAGTCGGACGTCTGAGCGACATCACAGAAAGGGCTTATATTGAAAATAAATAACCAAGCGTGCCACAGTCGGACGTCTGAGCGACGTCACAGAAAGGGCTTATATTGAAAATAAATAACAAACGTACCACAGTCGGACGTCTTAGCGACGTCACAGAAAGGGCTTATATCAGATGTAAATATCAAGTGTACCACAGTCGGACGTCTGAGCGACATCACATAAAGGGCTTATATAAAAGTAATTATCAGATTATTCCATCCACAAGAATAAACTTTTAACCGGACTTAACACTCCTGTAGTCCACCGGAGTTTTGTCACTGGGACTGACATTTGACAAGATAAGATGAACATAGTACTTGGACATGTACGAGATGATTTAAAGGATTTGTGACTCTACAGAGTTTGTACTAACTGTCCACAGCCAATGGATTTCCAAAGTCACGAAGGACTAGTTCCATTTACGATATTTCCGTAGAAACCCATTTAACCAGTACACACCCATTCCACCTCACGATGCCAGGAATCACCCTAGACATCATACAAGAAAAACTTTGAGACGGGGAGCTCACAACCTCGAATAGCATGGGATCAAATTTCTATACACGCGCTCTAAGGGGTGCCCCCCTCTCGGTCCCAACCGAAAACACCCATGCCCCCTGACCGGATGACGGGTTTTAATCCAGGGCCATGGAACCCTCATCCCGGCCTCTCTATTTGATGTGTACCAGGAAAACGGTTTGCAACTTACTAAGCCATATTCCTTGCGGAAAACATGCGGCAGTACAGGAAAGGAAATGAATGGGAATGTGACTTGATTTACGATGACACTGAAGTCAAATAGACTGGCATAAGACTGGCATGACACAACACTGCCATCTTACCCATCCTCATGCCATCACATGGCCATGCAAATATGTATCCAACAACATATGGATTTCTGAAACTCACTTTCCACTTCTTTGCATGAAATATAACATTCAAAGAAGTGTTCATAAACATGCCATGAAACTCCTAAATGCAAACATGCAACAAACACTCATCATATCAAGAGTTCAACCATGCTTGCCTGGTTCGGTGTAGTCGGGTTCTAACTTGGTGAAGTTCGCGGCTCCGTGACCTCCTTCGGTATCTACGGTATACAAAAATACACGCGCTATCGTAAATATCATGAGGTGTACAGAAACATACCAAATATTTTTCAAATAAATCTGATAAAAAACTAGACAAAATTTTGAAGAGTGCAAAAAAAGAATCATTCAAAAATCCTTTTCTGTTTAAAAGTTATAAGTGTTTTGGTCCAAGGACCTCTCTGTAATGAAACAGAAACTTCCCAGGGGGCTAAGCAGAAAAGTCCAGAAAACGATTCAAACTGGAAAGCGCATTTTGCCAGAATACGCTTTCAGAAAACGGTTCGTTTAATAAGAATGAGAGACTGACAGGCGGGTCCCACTCGTTAGGTTTAAAAATTTAAAAGGGGGAGATGGAGCTCGTCGGCGCCCGAGGGCTGCGGTGGTCGCCGGCGGCGATCCACGGCGAGGCAAGGGGATCGGGTGGTACCTCCGTGCTCAGTGCATCATTCCGCGTCGGTGGGTGGTGGTGGTGGTCGCCGGCGAGCACTGTGTCGGCGGAGACCCTGGCTCCGGCGGACGGCGGTTCGGGAGGGGTTGGCTCTCGCCGGAGAGTGCTGCGAAGGGAAAATTGAAGTGGGGGTTAGACTCCTGGGTGCTCGAGAGGGTTGCTGACGAGGTTAGGACGCCAGGGACGGCCTCACCGGAGTGAATCGAGGTGGAGGCCGAG